CTGATGCCAGCACAGTGACAGCTGGTTTGTGAGCCAGTACTGGCAGGCCAGGAGGAAGGCACAACAGGCTGTGTACCACAGTGGGGGGCCTTGGAGCTGAGTAGCCAGACAGGGGGATGGAGCACCCGAAACTCCTCAAAGTTCCCAACCTGCTGGGCAGAGCATGCCCAGGCAACCTTGTTCAGCTCTTTCTCCCATGCAGCAAGCTTCGTGTAAACCCCACCCCTTCAGTAGCGCTCTAGCTGCTAGGAAGCCTTGGACCGCCTGCCTTTCCTTTGTCCCAGAGCGGCAGATGTGGATCCTGTCCTCCACAAACAGCCAGAATCTCAATCTCTCAAGCACTCCGCCTGTCCCAGCTCCCCAACCTCCAGAGCACCAATGTGGGTTTCTGCTCGCAAAGCAGACCTCCAGGGCTAGGCGTTCAGCAGTCTTAGTCTTCCACCCCCTCCCCGCTCTGTTTCTCTTCCTCCCCCTGGTGAGCTGGGATGGGGAAAGGACTTGGGTCCTGCTGATCAAGGCTTTCATATGTCACCCCATTTCGTGAGGTCTGCTCTGTTCATGGGGTCTGTATGCAGTCTGGTGCAGCCTTCTAGGGTTGCTGTTTTAGGGTTAGTTGTATTAACTATATTTTCATACTCAGTGTGGTTTTTGGAGTTGTTCTCTGTCTCACCTCTCACTCTGCCATCTTGAATCTCACTCTTTTAGGAATAGTTGTATTCGCTGTATTTTCAAAGTATATATGGTTTTGGGAGATTTCCGCCACCCTACTCACGCCACCATCTTGAGAAGCAGTCCTACTGCTCTTTATTCCTTCATGTGCATTTGAGTTATTTAATGTTCTTTTATTTCAGTCTGAAAACTCCTTTAGTATTTTTTTATAGGGCAAGCCTGCTAGTTACAAATTGTTTTTGAGAGTGCCTTAATTTGTCCTTCACTTTTGAAGGACAACATTGTGCTGGGTGTAGAATTCTTGATTGACAGCATTTTTCTTCCAGCACCTTGGATATGCCATCCTACTGCCTTCTGACCTCCATGGACTTTGATGAGACACTGTTAATTATTTTAGGATTCTTTGTACATGATGAGTTGTTTCTTTCTGCTTTCAAGATTCTTGTTTGGTCTCCTGACAGTTTATGTGTGTAGATTGAATTTTTAAATTTATTCTGGTTGAAGTTCTTTGAAATTTTTGAATTTGAAAACTTGGTAAGTTTTCAGCCATTATTTCTTCAAATATTCTTTCTGCTCCCTTTTCTCTCTCTTCTCCTTCTGGGACTTTCCTTATATGTATGCTGGTGTGTTCAATGGTGTCTCACAGGCTACTGAGGCTATGATCATTCTCACCTCCCTGTGCCCCTTCCTCAGATTGGATAATCACAATTGAACTATCTTCAAACGAACTTTCATCTACCTGCTCAAATCTAATATTGAAACCCTCAATTTCAGTTATTGTAGTTTTCAAATTCAGAATTTTCATTTTCCTTCTAAAATATAATTTATGTATCTATTGATATTCTTTCCTTGATGAGGCATTTAAAAATGTTTAGACATGGTTTTCTTCTGTCCCTTGAATGTATTTAAAATAATTAATTTAGTCTTTGTCTCAGCTTCTTCAAGAACAGTTCCTGTTGTTCTTCCTGTGTATGGGCCATACATTCTTTCTTTGAATATCTCATAATCTATTGTTGAAAGTCGAACACTTTGAACACTATGATGTGGCAATCCTAGAAATCCATTTCTCTCCCCAGGATTTGTTGTTTTTGGTGCTTGTTATAGTTGTTTAGTGACTTTTCTGAGTGAATTCTTTAGTTTGTAATCTTTACCATGTGTGGTCAATGACATCTCTACTAAGTTAGTTCAGCAGTCAGCTAATGATTGGACAGATTTCCTTAAACACCAGGAACCAAAAAAATAAAAATAATAAAATAAATCCAGTCTGCCAAGGGACTGTGTGTGCGTGTGCATGTGTGTTGGGGCATGACTTGAAAACTCAGCCTAGCAGTTGAAAATCAGCTTTCACTCCCCGTTTGTGCAGATTCTCAAAATTAGCCCCGGTGAGAGTTCAGCTCTATGTACGTACACACAGCTCTATGTACGAACAAGGCATTCTAGACTTATAGAACTCTGTCAAAGCTTTTCAAAGCACCTATGGATATCTATTAGCCCAGCTTTTCCTTTTTTAGGTGTTTTGGTTAGTCTATTGTTTGCCTCAGCTCTTAACTATCTCCCAAGAGAAATGCAACACTGAGACTCTTGTCTATATTTGTTTTCAACAAACACTTCTCCAGGGGGAATACTTTTCACACTGGGTCAATTCTGTGTTAGCTTAACTATAGCCTTCTAAGTGGGGTCTTCCGGAGAACCATCAGACAGGCCAAATAATGACAATTCTTTGGGAATGTGGCTTTGAAAGAACTGTGTTTTATTCCCTCTAGTGGCTGCTAGGCTGCAACAGGAATGTGGGCTTGTCAAACATTGGTTGTCAAAGCTACTGCAGAGCTGGAATGAGGAATGCAACTAGAGCAAGTTAAAATACCACAAAGGGCACTGTTCTGAGATTTAGAGGTCCTTGCTTTGCCATTTCACAGACATCACTTGGCAAAAGCTATTTGACCATTCACAGTGTCTTAGGTCCTATTCTTGTCACTTAACTCAGGCAATTGATGATCTTGCTTCCCACTCCTCTACACAAATTGGCATCTGTGTGAGGAGAGACAAAGCTCTTCTCCAGAAGTCCCTTTTCCTTGAATTCTCTTCATTCACATTCTCTTGGATTTTGGCATTTCTTACCACAAATATCAGAACTACAAGTAACTTTCCTTTCATGCATGTTGTGTCCTGACATATGTGGCAGACATGAGGGCTAAAACTGGGTTATACAAGAAACAGGATTTCAAGTGACTTACTGTTAACATAAAAAGTCACTTTAGTTGTTTCTACTAGGTCTGAGGCAGTAGTATTACAGTGCTAGCTGTTAATATGGGTACCAGAAATGAACTAGCTTCTTTGTTTGGGATGGTCAACGATTACATTAGCAAAGCCCATTTTAGAGTTTAGTACTAACCCCAAGCATTGTGCCAACCCCAAGCATTGTGCCATCTTCATTTCTTGCTGAAGATGAAGCACGTTACATGCCATGGACTGGGGATGGTTGAGCCAGCAGCATCTAAGGAACACTTGCAATGAACCCAGATCCCCTTTCTATCCAAATGACAAGCAAGCCTTTGGAAAACAGCAAATTCAATACCTAACCAATGAGCTCGTACTGCCAAGGAAAACTTCCAATTCAAGATAAATTTTTGCTACCCAGTTTTACATCTGGACCACTTATACCAGAAGGGGTACGACACAGGAGATGCAGGCAGAAACTAGAGTACCAAGCAAGTCCATGCACGCACTGAAAACAAACTGGTCAGACCATTATTCAGGGCTAAATGAATAGTGGAAAGTGACCTCAGATTGTCTGCCCCAGTGAACAGAGCCCAAGCACCTCACCTCATGAAGGTGGTCTTGGCCAGGCAATTTGCTTTGGCCAGAGAGATGAGCAGATGGGGTGCACGCAGAGGCACACAGTGTCTGTGTGGTCCGGCCTGCCCACCTGTGCTTCTGCCATCACCACCAACAGCTCTGGGGCAGCTTCTGCACTCTAGCCAAGCTGGAGGGGAGAACAGATGGAGCAGACTCAAGCAAGCCCAGAGCATGCAGTCAAGTCCAGCCAGAGCTCCAGCCTGAGGCACAGTCATCCAGCCGAATCTGTCAGCCAACCTGCAGGGGCATGAGTCAGAATTATTTCACATTGACAAGATTTGGAGCAGCAATAGCAACTGAAAGTTCAGTTATCTTAGGCTCACCGTGAGGGCGAATTTTGTTACTGCTTCCTTTACTGCAGAGCCTCCCATAGTTCCCGGTACATGGCAAGTGTTTAGTAGACATCTATGGCGGTCACATTTGTTTCTTCTAAAATCAGTGACTTAGAATAAAATGGATAAGAATTTATATAATTTGGTAGTAGAGCATGTGGTCCAATTTCAAAATCACCAGTTTCAACAAGGTGCAGAAAATATGTTAAGAGTCATTAGGTGGTTAAGAGCTCTGAAAATGACTGCCTGCATTTGAATCTAGGCTTCATGAGTAACTGGCCAAGTGAATTTGGGCAAAATTCTCTTTGCCTCATACCTCATCTGTTAAATGGTGCTATTAATAGTACCTACCTCCTAGCACAGTTGTGTGGATTGAGGGATATATTTCAAGTACTTACAACCTTGCCTAGTACATAAGTAAACACTGTACAGACAGACATTTCCTGTTATTACCTCCAGTATTAAGACAATTTTCTGCAAAGTTAATAGTTTGCTTGAATCACCTATTTTTATCTACTTGTTCTTACTTTTGTTATTCTCTCTCTATTCATATTCATAATAAGCTTTTGTAGGTTTTCATGGTCTTTTTTTTTTATGGTCAGGAATGTGAAGTGCTGGTATCTATTCCATCCCTCTCCCTTCATCAACCACTGTAAGAACTACTGGTTTTGTTCATCTAGGATATCATCTGCCCCTTTTCTACCTGCTCAAATCATATTTGCTCTTCAATGTCCAGCCTAAATGCCACCTCTTCCATGAAGCCTATTCTGATTTTCCTTCCCAAAGTGACCTTGTTCTCTGACCTTCCTTGGCAATTCATCTCTCTCTGTTACATTTTATACTTACTACCTGAGGGTATATGCATTTCCATGATGAAATTATAAGCTCCAAGAGGACAAGTCCACAATTTCTAGGCTTACTTTCTGTCCACTCCTACCCTCAAGTAAATGGAAAGCAAGCAATAGATATTTGTTGAATAGTATTTTTGAAAACCCATTTAGACAGGTTCATCTAAATTCTAAAACAGCCTTATTGAAAGTCATTAAATTTTTAAAGAAATATTTAAAAAATAGCTATAATGACACTAATTAGACATTAAATGATAAGGGAAAAGAGGTATGCATATAAAAAAGAGACATTTGATTTACTGCATTAAAAAACTTTATTTCATTTAAAAGGTCCAATATAAGCCAAATTAAATCCCAAATTGACAGCTACACTTAGAGATCTCCTGAACTAAATGGCACTGTTTGAGGTGAGTGTCTTGTTAAAGAAGGGCATTTGCTAATACCACCATTTCCCCCAAAGTAGTTCTAAAGCAGAAGCTGGTATTGTTATAATACACATCATATATTTCAGGTGTCATCTTTCATGCAGAAGTTAAAAAGCAAACAGGATTTTCTGTGTGTGAATGAAAACCATTACAGAGCAGGGCCTGAATGTTTCTGACATACCAGGTGTAACTATAAAGGAACGTAAGTGGTGCTATTTTCCTTTGGGTGAGCCGCCTGTGGACCAGCAAGCAATACCGCTGCAGTTACACAAGCACAATCTGGGATGGCACTTTGGGTTCCCCTCCTCAGGTGCAGACCAAGGGAAATTGCTGATCAAGCTGGGGGACAGACTATCACAAAATGTGGTCACAAAGCAATGAAACAGTTTTCCTATTTCAAGCAATGGAAAGAACCACTTCACAAATATTTTTAGTATTAGCATCATTTACACAAAGTGACACAAGATCTAAGTTCATGTATATGAGGATAAATTGAAAACAGCTTGTTACTTTATAGCTACACCGTGGATTGCATTAGATGTGGTAAATCTAGCAGTGTCTAATGAGTCCTTCTGGAAACCAGTTCAATACACGAGTCAAACCCCCTGTAAAAGAGAAGACATGGCAGAGGACGCAAGATTCATCCAACCAACATTCTCAGCCTTCTCTTGCAGGGCACATGGAGGCCTAAGGACAGAAGTTACTGGGAGGGAGGCTTCAACTTCATCTAAGGAAGACCTTTCTAACAGAGTTGCTCAACAACTGAATGGACTGCTTGGTGAGGTAGAGTCACTGGAAGTGTTCAAGGTGGATAGATTACCCTTGTGAAGGGTCTCCTGCATTTGTTAAGAGGTTAGACTGGATGAACCTCAGGTCTCTTTCAATTCTGAGATTCTAGAAAATTCCCTCAGGGAATTCAGAAGCGAATTCCTAAAAGGAAAGAGAAAGCACACATATGTATACTTTTAGAATCCTCTTGAGTTTTTTTCTTTTTTTCAAAAGGTACAATAGAAAATGTAGTCCACTGTCTTTAGAATGCATATGCACCTTCCTACCACTAATAGGAAGGGTCCATTATGACTTCTTTATATTATAAAGATGGAAGATTACATTTATAATTTCTGTAAATATTTTAGAAAAATGCTCAAAATCTAGTAGTCAATGCCCTAGAAACTTTATAGACTTTTTGATAGTATGCACAGATACAAATACATTATTCATTAAATACAACTCACATCTGTGTTTTTATTATACTCTAAAATATACAGGAATCTTGATGTACTGAAAGAGTGCAAGTAAATACAGTATTCAAGCAGTCACTATTTCTATGTACATGCTCATTAATTCTTCAAAACCCCACAAAATTATCAAAGAGATCAAAATACTGTTCTGTGTTTTCACACTTTATATTCAGAAAAACCAGCTGATAATTTACAATGTCATAAAGTTTCCAGTTTTACAATACAAAAAGGATAAAATGAAATTGGGTATCATCTTGTGAAAATTTATGGAACTTTAGATGTGTAAGACCCCCTACGTATGTGAAATCATTCTCACTGTGAAAGTGAGTTATAGTAAAAGCAGAACCATATAAAGTGTTATTTAAAAGCTTAGACTTCAGCTTTTTTTTTTCTTTCTATCTGAAAGGCAGTCTTCCATTTTGACAGGCAATTGCTTCTTTCCCCAAACAGTAGCATATTACAAACATACTACTTCACATCTATTTAGAACCCAATATAAGAAGGCCTTCCAATACCTGGTGACGTTAACTTATCAGTAACAAGGGATTTTTTTCTTTTTGATTCTTCACTAAACAATGGCAACTGAAGTCCCCCAATCCACTGTGGAGGCACAAAAGTAACGTGAGTGACAAAGGTATACCATCCACAGTAGTGAGGCTGTGTATTCAATTCCCAGAACCACTTAGCCTCAAGAGCATGAAAATAATCTACTTTTTGATTTCATGAAATTTTCTTCTAGGCAATTTTTTACATTTTCAAATAAAAATAGTTCAACTTTAAACCTAAACCATTCAGAGCTGGGCAACAGCGGCCCAACCACTCACTATCTCATGTCTACACCGAAAGTATTTCCATCCTGACTGTACCCAGTCACCTGGTTTTTAATTCTAATATAAAAGTTGGAATTTAAAAATTTTTATGTAAAAGAAAAAAAATGTAAAAATACACCTGCTTTCTCTCATGGTTTAATATAGTATTCGAAGGCTTTCAGATGTTTTCTTAAAAAAAATCACTTATAACCAAAACTCAGCTTCATTTTCAGAAATATTAAAGTTTGGTTTAGATAATGTATCATTCACCTCATCCAGTTTCCACAGAATGTCATACTATTAAAAAACCTGTAAGTTACTTGGTCCTTTGGCAATCTGCTTTGCACATAATGCCTACTGTACCAAACTTTTATTGCCTGTAAATTTAGTTGGAGTTTTATTGATAAAATTTCAATGCAGTGTCCTTATCTCTTCACTTACAATGGTGCTACTTGTGTAAGCAGATTAGGGTGCAGTGTCCCAAATTATTCCTGGCACTGCAAAACCAAATCAAACAATTCCATGAAGCAATTTGATATCAAAGTGTTTTTCTCTGGTCAAGCCTATTTCAATACTCTTAGAAGTTCCTTTTGCAAAACTTGCCTTTAAAACTTTTCTTCCTAATGTCATCACATTTCTTAAATTCGCTCACTCTTCGATCTTTCCTCTTAGGTTGAATTTGTATGTGAATAAGAAAGTGCCTTTTTCCTGAAAAAGCACAGTTTGAACCATTAGGGTCAGAACTCCATCCTTCCACCTCCAGCTCAGCCTCTAGTAGGTCTCAGAATCGGAGTCGTTGAGTTCATCCACGTCGGTGTATAAGTACTCCTGGTCCCCACCAATGTTGTTGAAACTGCAGTAGGAGCTAGGCTCACTCCTCATGATGGGCAAGGCTTCGAAGCTGACTGTTTTTGAGGTGTTGGTATAGCGGTTAATGGCATTGAATGTCAGGGATGACAAAGGGCTACTTGATGACACAGGCATCATGGTGGCCAAAATGAGAGCTAGGCAGTCAGCTACGTCCTTATTGGGAGCGCAGGCCAAAGCTGGGGTATAGCCTAGAATTACAGATAAAATTTAAAATAGTAAACATCCTGAGATTCATTTCATTAAAATAAGGAAATAAGCCTAAAGGCCTTCAACTTAGACATACTTTAAAGACTTGGCTTATACTACACTGGTTTAATGAGAATAATTCAGCAATTTCAAATAAACAGAAAAAGAGAAAGTCACAGATATCGAGGAGATTTGACAGACTGCATAACAGATGAGGAAATAGGCCCAGACATGGATTGTTTCCCCAAGACCTCACAACTTACCCATAGAATTTAAATTCACAGGAGACACTGAGCTACAGAAAGGGAGAAAAACCCTAGATTGATAAATCTTTCTTCAAAATGGTGGGAAAGTCTTACCATTAACTTGTAGGTATGTAAGTGCTTACATACTGAGAAATCTAAATGTGGACAGATTCTTAATGAGGCACTGAGCAGGTGCTCAAAAGGAATGTGCTGAATGAGTGACATTTGGCTGTTGATTAACTTTTCTTTTAGGGCCACAGTCCACTGAAGAAAAACAGTAGGTGAACTAAACAGTGAACTGTTAAAACTCCCAAGTCAAAACAAGTGCCTCCTCTGTAACTGTTCACTTCTTCAGCAGAGGACCAGCCTTGGCCCTAGGGCACCACGGTGTCGACATGGCACACCAAGGAAGGAAGTGCTGGTACCTCGGTTGACTCAGGAACTTGAAGATGAATGAAAGATGGTGAGAGCACACACCGTGCGATGCTACGTTTAAATTATCCCACGTGGACCGTTCACAGTGAATGTCTTAAAAGTTTTGGTCTCCAGCTTCAGGTGGTATTGCACATCTAGACACGGTTTTCTCTATTAGTATATTTACTTGTGTTTTAGCCTTCATGCACCCAAATAAATATATGTATATATTTTTAAAAGTACATGTTTGTTTTTTAAACAGCTGAGTGATTTATCCCCAAACGAACATTCATGTAATCACCATCTGGATCAGTTAAGAAAACGTCACCAGCTCAACAGAAGCCCTGTTTGTCCCTGCCCGGTCTATCCCACAAAGGTACCCACTCTCCTAACGTAGGTGGTCATTTCTGTGCTTTCCTTTCTACCTGTATTCGTTCATTTGTTTATTTATTTCCTTTCTGCTGGTATTCTGTGAGATGTATCTTTGTTGTTGTATGTAGCTATAATTAGTTCACTCTGTTACATATACCACTGAGTGATTGTACCATGGTTTAGTTACCTATTCTAATTTATTAAGCATTTAGCTATTTCTAGTTCTCCTATATATTATTCATGCTTTATCAGTTTTAAGAAAGAACGATTTTTTTCCCCCTTCATAAATTTCCTTTTCCAAGGGTCAAAGGGTATGAACGATGCCCCTTTGGACCTGGCAGGAGTGGCGGAAGGGTACGCATATTTTTAATTAAACTCGACCTGCCCAAAGGGATGAGGAGAGTGCTGCAAAGCCTGCCGTCTCTCAGGGGCTCTCTGCATGTCTGGAGGTGACTACTATGCTGTTGCTGGTGGGCAGGGCAACCTATTCAACAGGCCACATGCCTTGGATGAGACCTGGGGGAGAGGGGGCACACAGAAGATTATCTCAGGAGTGTTTTCTAGTCAGAACATGACTAAAAACAGGCTCCTCCCTCTGCATGGAGTTGGTCTGGTCAGATAAGAGAGAGATGAGTGAACCAAGATTCTGAGGAATAGTATCTTCTCACATAACATAAGGATCCAGGCTGGGGTGGTAAGACTACAGGAGAAAAAAGTGGGCCTATTTCTGATATAGTTTCTGATACATCTGAAACTAACATAATGTTATATATTATTATACCTCAATAAAATAAAAAACAAAAAACAAAACCCCAACAATGTTCAGTTCCAGTGACTCTAGTACTAACCTAAGTCATCTAAATAGCTATCAATTCAAGGAACGAGGTATCTGTGAGTGAAGGGAGACTGTCACCTAAAGAAAGACATTATGGCCACATCCCATATGCTGTGACTGTCTCACCTGGCTCTGAAGTGAGCTGCACTTTGTGTCCCAGTGACACTGTGCACCAAAAAGGGAAACAGACATTACTTGGGGAAATACTGGGCACTTGCTGTATTCCCTTAATCACGTATATTTAAAATTCCATATTAAAATCTTATTGCTATACACATTTTAAAAAAAGAATGAAAAAGTTATAATGTTGTGCCAAATTCTGATTTGTCACATAAAACGGACACCAAGAACTGACGCTCACCAATCATGAGGGTCACTAACGATCTTGACAAGAGGTCAGCAGTGTGGTAGGGGCAGGGGCTGGCTGCAGGGATTTAAGAGAGCATGAAGAGAAGAACAGTCCAGCAAGGAGAGCTGGCTCTTGAGTAATTCTGCTGTGAAGTGGAACAGAGAAATAGCAGCAGCTAGCAGCAGTGGTAGGATTAATAAGAGATTTTTTAAGATGAGAGAAACTATATTTAATCCTGATGAGAATAATCTAGGAAGATTCTCATAGAGAATCCTTACTATAGGACACAAAAGTGAAGAACTGTTAAAGTGATTGTCTCAAGTCGGTAAAAGGAATCAGGATCCAGCGCCTAAGTGGTAGGAAGATTAGTTTTAGGTATATTGAGGTATATTATTATACCTCAATAAAATAAAAAACAAAAAACAAAACCCCAACAATGTTCAGTTCCAGTGACTCTAGTACTAACCTAAATCATCTAAATAGCTATCAATTCAAGGAACGAGGTATCTGTGAGTGAACCTGGCACTTAGGGTCTTGATAAACACTTGATGGAACAAATTCTCTGAATACCAAAATAAACAAAGGTGGTAGATATTGGAAACTAAGGTTCACCTGTTAGATGGACTTTTCCTGTTTCTCTTGTCCTCTTATTCCCTTTGCCACAAAATAATTAAGTACTATTCAGTATTAATTTCACTCTCCTCTCTGGCCATTAAAGAATATTTAAGTTTACTTCAAGAATGAATCATTAAAAGTTATCAACTTCAAGTAAGATTTAAGTTAAGGAAAGAGAATAGAACCTACTTACCATTTTCATCTACTGCAAGCACGCTTGCTCCTTTCCCCAGAAGTTCCTGAACCACCATTGTTAGCCCATTCCGGGCAGCAACATGCAGAGGTCTGGAGGAAAATATTATAAATGTACATGTATGTAGGTGCATGCATGTGCACACACACACTCTCTATCTCTCTAATTCTGGCTGTTGAAGGGCACTTTTGCTAACTTGTGAAAACCCAGAGATACAAAGGTGGCATCTTGTCCTCACAGCGATAAAGATGGGAGTGGGGCACCACAGAACCGACATGCAGGGTGCTGTCACCGTGTCAGTGTGCGGGGTAGCGCTGGGCCCCATTAGCAAGTTCCACCTTCACCAAAAGGCTTTTTTTTTTAGTTTCCTTCTAAAACTTAATATTTAAAGAGATGTTACCAATTAAAGTGCATTCTTAAATTACTGTTTTAAGAAATGAGGTTGGCCGACACATGTAACAGAATATATAACAAAAACCGTCAATTACAACAGTAAAAATTCCAATAGGCTTTGAAAGCAACTTACAGATTCTATGACTAATTTTTGTACCCTCAAAAGATAAGTAGGATATGTGAATGGGAACCAACATTGTAAGACTTTTCTCTTTACCAAGTCTCAAAGTAGAATGGAAATGGAAAATGGGAGATGTTGAAGTAAGATCTAAGTGTTACCTGAAGGTTGGTTACTCACATTAAGAACTTGATTCTTTCTGAAACCTCTTTAGCTTACAGATACATATAAACCTTTTTACCTCTTTTACTGCTAGTGTCAAATAATGTCTTATGCCAATTGGTTTCCATAAAACACACAAATTAGCATTACTTTCCATAATAAAATTATGGGTAACTGGGTTGAGAAAAAACATTGTTCTCAATAATAAAAGTTTCAGTTCAAAATCATTTATAGTAATATACTTTTAACTGTAATGATTTTAGAAATGAGTTTTGTCAATCATAAAAACTATCCTTTACTTTTTAATTGCTTCTGTGACTGAGACTGATTCCAGTGGTCCCCAAAGAAAAAAAACCTCAATATTCATTTTCCTAATTACAGGTCACATGGTTTACACTAGACACTGAAAGTACTCACGTTTGCAAGGCTGCATTGGTTGCATTGATGAGGTTTCGATCTGTTATCTTTTCCAATATTAACAAGGCACTAGTTTCATGACCCTATAATTGTGAGATAACTCTAGATAACTTGGGTATCATTAAAGAAACATTTATACAAACATACAAGAACACACAACCCTACTCCATATAGCATGTACATCACCATTTGTATGCCACAAATTTTCTAATGCCTTAACCATTTGTCCAAACGTGTTGGTGGGTGGGTTTAGGGAGAGAGTACATGAATATTTAAGATTAGAGAGATTACAGACAATAATTACATTCCAGCTTATGCTCCACAACTTATTTGGGTTACTGGGCACTTTTATATACCATGGTGGCTACATCAGTAGTCCCCCTGCTCCACCCCAAGAAATCTGATTCCAACCATCACTGGACAGGTTTAGTCCCTAGTTCTGTTCATTTTAGTGAAGTGGAAAAGCTGTAAATGCTGCTGCTGATACTAACAATGACGACAGCTTTAAAGTGTGCACACACCTTGCTGCAAGCCAAGTGGAGGGCGGTGTTTTTACTGTTGTCCTGCACCGTCAGATCCGCACTAGCACTGCTAACCAGCATTTCTGGGAGGAGAAACAGTGTCAGTTCTTATGTTTGTGAACACGTAGCTTAGGTAACTCACAGCCCACTGTACACAAGTGACGATACAAAGCAAAAATAGCCCTCTAATAAAACCTTAAGTGCAAGAAAAATGCTACTATGTAAGATGCACACACTATATTGCTGTATTGTTGTGTAAGTCACAGACACTACAGCAGCAGAACATGTATTTTTTGAGTGTCACTGAATTCCAGTACTGTGTTATACTGAGGCTCTGGATTTACAGTAACTTATTTAACCCTCATGACAACTCTACAAAGTAGGTATTGTTCATTAAAAATGGAACAATTGAGGCATAAGGGCCCTTAGTCAGCAGAGCCAGGGCTCAGATTGAGTCAGTCTGATGCTAGAGCCAGAGTCTTACCACTATCCCTCAGTGCCTTGCTGTAGCCAACTATTCAGTTAGTGAGAGCAGAAGAAAATACTGTGGCCATATCAAAGTGTGGGTGGGGAGCAGGTAAAAGGTTTTCTTTCAATCTCAAGAGTGGTGAAATAACTAGTGGACAATTCAATAAACTAAAGTCAGAAGGCTTGGGATTTAAGTTATACATAGGCAATAAACATACTTAGAACAGTAAAAGTCTTAACCAGTTTCTTTACCAACTGTGTTTGTTTGTCCATTTTCTGCAGCCATCATGAGGGGCGTTTTCCCAGAAGAGTCTATAGAATTGACTTGAGCATTATGGCTGAGCAGCAGCTGTAAGCACTCTACGTGGTCTGTGAAGGCGGCTGCGTGGAGAGGAGTTCTATAGTACAGAAAAACGGGAAGACTGGACTACATCTGCAAGTTGAATATTCTAGAAAAAACTATCCCTTAATTTATGACATAAATTTTCAAGGGTTTACACATTAGGCTTTATCTAAAAGCATTGCCTGGATACGGAGAGGCGTAATGGAGCTTACTTATTTCTGCTATAGAAATTTTATTTCTGATTATAATATAAAAGCCCCTTAAGGAAACTAGTATAAATAGGGATAAATTACAAAATTGCTAAAACATTAAAGACATTTAAACATTTCATTAAAAAACATTTGGGAAGAAATAAATCCTGACCCAATTACTGCTTTCTATTGCAACTGCTCAAAGTCTCTTCCAGCCTTTATTCCTTTTTAGAAAACTGTTAACTTTATCAACAATAATATCTGGGTAACAAATGCATTTCTTAAAAAAAAAAGGGAAATCTTTACATTTTACAAGTTTTAAAAAGAGGAAATCTGGCTAAAAAGTCTAACAGAAAAGGCTTTTATAATGAAAACAATGAAAATTTTATAACAATTTATACTTGCAAATATAAAAATCAACTTTTAATTAATAATGGGTTCTCTGCAAATTCATCCTCAGTCTAATAGCTACAAAACTGTTTTTCACATTGAAAGTAAAACTGCTTTCTACACAGTTGAATTCCTACCTTCCTTTTGAATCTGTGGAGTTCACGATGCTGGCACCTAACGTATCAATCAACATCTCAGCAGCACCTTCATTGTCATTTATCCTGTGTAAGGCAGAAAGGCAGTTACTAACAGCAACAGTGTCTCCTAAACAGCAAACCGAATCTGATTCATTCTGCTTTTACTTACACAGCACAATGCAATGGACTAAAAGCATTTCCTTCCATTTTCTGGAAAACTTCCTGTTCTAAAAGAAGTTCTACACATGTCTCGTGACCTAAATAAGTGAGAATCAGATATTAAAACCCAAAAGAGATACTGAAGTACCCATATACACCCACATATCCCAAACACAAACACAAGAAAGCTTTACATGGAATAAAAACAACCAGTTCACTGAACCCATGGAAGAGCCCATTTTTAGTAGTTTTGGAATCCAAAGTAGAATCTCAAGACCTAGAGTATAGTAGCTTCTTCTAATAATTTTATAGCAGTTTATTACTGATTCAACAAATGCTTGTTTTCTGGGGAAAAAACTCGTTATTCTTTTTCATGATGAGAAGTTAGAGCTATTTGGGCATTATTTTTAAAAATGTCTTATTTATATAGAATAATACAGCTTTCAAAACAATATATATTTACAAAGATAATTAAGTTCAAAACTTAAGTATTTTCTGATTATAGTAATGAGCTAACAGTAAAATCTAAAATACTACAGAAGTGTTTCAAGAGAAAAAGTACCTGTCCCCATCCCACTGCTAGGCACATACTCTAGACTACCATCTTAGCAGTTCCAGAAGATTTCCAGGCACATAAAACTGTATTTATAGAAATGCATACTTCCTTTTGTTATTTTATGCAAATGGCATGTTTAGTTCTGCATCTTGTCTTTTACTTAATAAATTGTATATCTTCTTCCATAATAGCATACACAGAAATCTTATTCTTGAATGTTTGGAAGAACTTTGTAAGTATTGGATTACATATAAATGACTTTAGTCTCTAGTTACGGATTTCAAGGTGACCGCTAGTTTGTTTTTCTCTGTAATATTATCAGCAATGCTGTAATGAAACATTCTAGCACCTTAAAAAAAAAAATGCTTTTGCAGAAAAACTTCCCAGAACTTATATTGTTAGGTTAAAGGACTACTGCATATTGATTACTGATAGATATCAGGCCCATAGTTTTTAATATCAATTTTGTAAATAAATAGAGAAAAGCCCAAAACTCTTATGTTCTTAACCTACTTTTCAAAGCCAATGTTTTAGTAAAAACACCCTGCAATTGGAATGCTTCATTTATTTCATTAGTCATCTGGGATTTGCTTTAGGAATAAATTAGATGCTTACATAGCCTGTCTATTTCAACAACTTAATATTAGGCTAACAAGTGATGTTATATTTCCTTTCTTTTTAAATTAATCAAATATTCTCAAACAGTTAACTCAACTTAATCTTTTCCTATGACTGATTATTTTCACCTGAAAAGAAAGTATGTTTTAGGAAACCTGTATTTGTGTTCTGTCTTTTGTCAGTTCTTTCCTCTAACTCTGTGGTTCTTCTGCGCTTCAGGAGGCTTCTGGCCAAGTCTGGAGGTGTGTTTGCTCACCCCCCTCCTGGGGGTGGGGGAGTGGATGCTGTTGGCACCTAATGAGAAGCCAGCAGCGTTGCTGACCATCTTGCAGTGTGCACAGCAGGCCCCCGCAGCACAGGCTCCGTGGCCCCAGCTGTCTGCAGTGCTGAGGCTGAGAGTCTGCTCTGTCTCTTCCCAAATGCTAAATCGGACCCAAGAAGTAACCCAGGAAATCGTGCAGCGTGCTTTCAGGTCTCCCACTGCCCTGCTATGGCAGCTCTCAAGGTGGAGCTCAGGGAACGCTGCGGGGCTACTGCAAACTGTTCTTCTCTTAAACTAGACATTAAGGAAATCTGGCATTCTTTTCACTAAATGTTTGTTTGTTTTGGAAAATACTTTCATTAAAATGTTATTCAGATTAACATGTAATAGATTATCATTTCAAAATAAACTAATAAATACCTCTAAACTTATTTCTAATTTTCAAGTAACATACAAACATTAATAGCTGTAACTCACAGGTCCTAAGACTGAGAAGTCTGAGAATCTCTATCTGAGATGACTGCTGAGTGTAAATGGGGAGAGAGTCATGGAGCTACTGATTACCTCCAGCAGTCATAACTGGGTCATAAAACCCTCATCACTGAGTGTTCCAGTTTATGAAATAAAAATAATGATAAAACTCTTCACGTTTCAGAGGGATATTCTGAGGATGCTTACAGCTTCATAAGAACTGATAAATCTTTAAAAGGAACAGATGAAATAATGTAAGTACTAAGTTCTGTGACTGATTACATAAACTGAAAATCTGAACTTAAAAGTTTAATGTGGATGACCGGTTCTAAAACCTTGCTGTCATTCCATTTTAATTTTGAGAGAACGGCTGTCTTGTGTTCTGTTGGAGTGCTTCCCATCATTTTTTTAGCTAAATAGTAATTACCAGTCAAAGAAAGACCATTCTGCATACTCTACTCTCAGAACACCAAATTATAAAAACAGCTTTTGAATATAAAGATGGTATTAATTTTGGACTGCCTATATAGTCTCTCACTGTATACAGCCAGCACACACCTAATTCCTTCCAGCTCAATTCAGTCACCACACAGTTCTGCTAGTCTGGAGACTAGACACATCTGTTATGATCTTTAAATGGCAACCAGGCATGTAGTTTGTGCAAAATTTTGTCTCTTGTGCACAGTGTGCTTAGAGGGTCTAAATTCAGCAGTGGTAGAGCAGGAACTCATTTCAGGGAAATTGTGTTCCTTCTCTAGAAAGACCTGATGACAAGGAATGCTAGATGGCAACTCTCCAAAGGACAGTGACAGCAATACAATTACAAGTAAATGCTCTACCTGAGTAAAAAATGCCTCACTGTGGGATTTTTTTCCCTATGGTTAATTCTCAGTGATCTAATAAAAAAATATCAAGCAATAAAAGTCAACTTCAAAACAGCTTTATATCACTGACTTCTTATATAAACAAAATTCACAAAATTCACATCTGTAGAGTTTTCCATTTTCCTTATACTTGTAAAATGTCAAACTACATTACAGAAACAAACCAGATTTCAATAGCAAATACAGTATCTTCTTTGACTTAGGACTAGTCTTTGGCTACTTCACTGTACTCATTAAATATAAAGTTCAGTGAGTTGAAAAGGGAAAAAAGAGAGGTTGAAATCCAAAGGTTTCCTATTTTCCAAAACTGTTCTAAGATCTGAGGTAGTAAAAATGAAACTAACTAAACTAAGGTTTTTGAATTAGCAACCATTTAACTATTGAAGTTTTTATGGTACCGTCACTACTCAAGAATGACCAATAGTAAGTACAGGACAACCCTCAAGAAGAAACCAAAACTTTCTCACAGCAAAGGATTAGAACTCTCAATCTGCCACAAAGATAAATCATAAAATAAAATATAAATAAGAAAATAAAAATATTCTTTCTAGAAAATACTTTAACATTTAATTAAACTACAATTTGGAAAGTCAGATGTCTCCTCTTTTACCATTAACACAATATTATTTGTCAAAATGGCTCCCAGTGAAACAACATGAAGCAGCATATTTCTGAGCATATTTACTGTTTCTAAAAATTTTTTTAAAGCAAGTCAACATATTTTCCTTACATTTTGAGGATAGGTAGTTACTGTTTTGTAGATATGTTCTTATAACTAACATTAATCTCAATGCTACACTCAAAGTCAAACAAAACCCCTCATACTCTGGCTGCTAAAGCCCTAGGCCCAAATTTTGGCAGGAATGGTACTTATGTTATCCATAGTGTACCTTAGTGTTTTCAGTGATGATCGACTCTATGGCCCTACACAAGGAAAAAATTAGTATTTCTCAACATGTTTCATTACTTAAATTATTCTAATTAGTGACAGACATTTTATCAACCAAACTCCATTTTTAACACTGTATCTTAAAAATTGCTTTCTTCTTTTCTGAGTGACTTTTAGCGAGCCTACCTGTAAAAGGACTAGCTGACTGAGCCTTTAGGATCCTAAAAGTCAGTCTGTTTTAACCATGTAGCCAAGTTAACTTAACCATTAAAGGTTTTAAGTTTCTCAAATTTCTACTCCCATGATCTGCTAGGATTTTATTTCTTTAAAATGTTGTACATACATTCATGGATAGGAAGAATTAATATTGTAAAAATGTCTAAAATGTCCATAGCAATCTACAGATTCAAATGCAATCCCTATCAAAATACCAGTGGTATTTTTCACAGAACTACAGCAAATAACCTAAAATTTGTATGGACTCACAAAGGACCCTGAGTAACAAAAGCAATCTTGGGAAAGAACAAAGCTGGGGGTGTCATGCTCCCTGATTTCAAACTATACCACAAAGCTACAGTAATCGAAACAGTATGGTACTGGCACAAGAAGAGTTGCATAGCTCAATGGAAAAGAATAGAGAGCCCTAAAATAAACCCACACTTATAATGTCAATTAATACATGACAAAGGAGACAAGGATATACAATGGGGAGAAGACAATCTCTTGATTAAATGGTGCTGGGAAAACTGGACAGAATGAAACTTGACTACTGCCTTACACCATACACTAAAATAAACGAGAAGGATTAAAGACCTAGATATAAGACTGAAGCTACAAAACTCTTAAAAGTAGGCAGCAAATTCTTGACCTTAGCAATGTTTTTTTGGATATGTCTCCCCAGTTAAGAGAAACAAAGCAAAATAAACAAGTGGTACCACATCAAACCAAAAAGCTTCTGCACAGTGAAGGAAACCAGTGACAAAAAGAAAAGGCAACCTAGTGAATAGCAGAGTATTTTTGCAAATGAAATACCCGATAAAGGGTTAATATCCAAGATATATAAAGAACTCATGTAACTCAACACTGAAACCCCAAATAATCCAATTAAAAAACAGACAAAGGAACTGAATAGACATTTTTTTCAAAGAAGATAAAGAGATGGCTAACAGATGCTCCACATCAGTAGGCATCAGGGAAATGCAAAGCAAAACCACAGTGAGATATCCCCTCATACCAGTCAGAATGGCAAATACCAAAAAGACAAGAAATAACAAGTGTTGGTAATGAAAAGGGAACCCTTGTGCACTGTTGGTGGGGATATAAACTGGTATAGCCACTATAGAAAGCAATATGAAGGTTCCTCAAGAAATAAAAAACAGAGAAACCATATGATCCAGTAACTCCTGTTCTGAGTATTTACCTAAAGAAACAAAACTACTAATTCAAAAAGATACATGCACCCCTATGTTTGTTATTATACACTCATTGTAAAAATACACTGAGGCATTATTTATAATAGCTAAGATATAGAAGCAACTTAAGTGTTCATCCACAGATGAACAGATAAAGAAGATGTGCTATATGTACACAATGGAACAATCCTCAGCCATAAATCAGAATGAAATCTTGCCATTTGCAACAAAATGGATGGACCTAGAGGGTGTCATGTTAAGTGAAATCTAAAAAAGAAAGCAAACAAACAACAAAACAGAACAAAACCCTAGAAAACAGACAACAGACTCACAAATACAGAGAACAAACTTATGGTTGTTGGGGGGTGGGGGTGCGGTACAGCCTGCAGGTGAAACAGGTGAAGGGGATAAAGAGGTACAAACTTCCAGTTATGAAATAAGTAAGCATGGATGAGAAGTACAGCATTAGGGAATGTAGACAATAATATTGTAATAGCTTTGTATGGACACACACGGTAACTATACTTACGGTGAGCATTTCATAATGCATATACAAATGTCAAATTATACTATGTTGTATGCTTGAAACTAATATACTTTGTCAACTATACTTCAATAAAATTTTTTAAATGTTGAGCATACATGTTACCATTGATATAAAAATCTTATCTTGCAATGTGCTCAGAAAACATACAAATTTCAGTTCAGCATATTAAGCATTTTGTTTCTCCTACCTTTGTCATTTTTTTCATAACACAAGTATATTTGAAAATAAAAGAACATAATCAAAAGACAAGCATACCTGTACCAAAGACATTGGAAATGAAACACAAAATACTTGTAAAAAGCAAAGGTCTATTCCTAATTACAACCCTTAAATAGAATTCATGCCTCATATCGAATTTACCGAGTATCATAATTCCTCCAAGTGGTAAAGATACCTCAAGACAAATGCTGAGCATAGAAACCACAGGGCATAAATCTGCAAAGAAGTAAAAAGCTAACCTTTTCCAACAATATGGCTTCTCTCTCACTTACCAACTTTACATTTCCCTGTATGGCCCCGGAAGATGACTGGTTAGCCAGACACGGGTAATATTCCT